AATTGTGCTACAAAACCTGAGAGCTTAACAGGTCAATTTGTTCTAAGACTTCAATTATTTCAAAAATAAGTGCAGTCATATTTTACAACAGTAAAAGCATTCCAAGTATTTGATTTAAAATTAAAAATAACAAAACTAAGCCAGACAGATCTCCATGACTGGCATTTGCAGCGTAGTGGACCCATGCAGAATGCCAGGTCTATTTAAAAGGCAGTGCATAGCATGGAGAGGGCAGGAAGATGCATCAATCTCAGTAGTTAACAAGCAGATTTTTGGTGGTGGTGTTGGCTTTTTTCCCCACTTCTTAAAGCTTGGTTTGAGCAATGCTTGCAGTCCTGTTTCAGCTCCATACTGCTGGTCCCCTTCTAACACCTCCACCTGTGCCAGACACCCCCTGTGCAGGCTCAGAAACCACCTGCAAACCTGCTGAGGATCCTTAAGGTGATCTGCAGGGGTCTCAGGATCCTCTGCCCCAGGGAAAGCAGGGACGAAAGTAAATCAGGGGCAACACGGCACTTGGGGTCCCAACAGAAAACAAACCGTAGCTGCTGAAGGCGAGGTCAGCGCGTTTCGTAGTCCTGTCTGACACACTGTGGTCTTTTGCTCAGAGTGGAGAGACACCAGTGAACAACCGTGGCCGTAATGGGGTTTACAGGAAGTGACAGCAATATGCACTCAGAAGTGAAGCCTCCTCTCAGTATAATTCAGCAAGGTGAAAAACAAGCAGCCAGCTTAAGCTGGTTAAGGAACATTCAAAGTCTGAGGGAATTTGAATTTCAGTGAAGAACAGATTTTACCTGGGGGTGAAAAGGCATGTGTGGGGTGGGGAGGGGGTTTAAAATGGAAATGCTGTCAAAGCTTTAACTGTAACATAGCTAAAAGGTTGTGTAATTACCATTATATATAACTCCTGCAGAAATTTAAGGGAAAAAAACCCCACCTTTACCTTTGTTCCAAGACAAATTGTTCTTCTGCTTCAGATCTGCTAAAGCACTTCAATTTTACCTTGAGAATACAGTCCTGAGGTATTTAATTACCCTGTCAAGACCACTAAATGGTCTGGCACCATGCCCCCTCGCTCAATCTTAGCCGATTGATAGCATCAGTAAGACTCAGTAGCTTTAATTAAACCTCCAAATAGGATCCCCTTTTGCTACTCACTCGATAAATGTTCTTTAGAGCTGGAAGAAAAAAATTGAGAAGGCAAGGAGACTTTCTCTCACCTTCACAGCTCACTTGCCTCTGGTATTTTAATAGACTTTTTACACAACTCATTCCATTGCTCCCCAGGGACATCAGGTAATGAAAAAATTACTACAAAAAGTGACACTACCAAAATTTTCCTCTACAACTATCAATGGTGAAGACAGGAACAGTATCAATCTTTTACCAGTTGCACTAACTCAGAAATCAAATTACCATGTTTCTTTTTCTCAGCACTGTTATTTGCCATTGGGTGTACAGGGTGTTTTAAGTCACCGGCAGAAGTAGTTCATAAGGGTGGAAATCTTGAGCAGTTAACAGATAATTCCTTTAAAACGAATCTTACTGTAAATCTGAGTAACAGTTCAAGGCACCAAGTGAAACTGCCTTGCATAATGACAAGTTTCAAGGACAGTCTGCCTCAGAGGACACTAATGAAGTTGTGGCACATCCCTTACTCCAAGTTTTCCCTTGCTATGCTGCACTTCAGGCATTTGTAAAGGTGATAGTCCAATTTTCACCCTACAACTGAAGACCTAGCCAGTTCTCAATACACATCTTTCTACAGCAGGGCAGTTAACAAGGGGATGACAGCGAAGCAGGACATCTGTGCCTGTCGTCAAAGAATTTGTCAAACTTCATTCCAACAGGAGTTGGCAGAATACTACATGTGAAGCTTTTCTTAAATATATGCAAAGATATAAAAGAGTGGGAAGAAAACCTACAGATTTAATACTTTAGATAAAATATTTCTTACATCTCTATTCCCCAGACAGGTAATAATTACCCATGTAAACATCCTAATAGCCCAAAGAATTTAAAAGAGAAGGAAACCTTACTAAATCTCATTTTTAAGAAACACTAGCTAGGTAAAACACAGCTAGATAACCAATGCTATCTTCTAAAAAAAAGGACAACTCCTGAGCCTCTAGCCAGAACAGGCTGTTTTCTTTCCCTTTCCCAACACACACTTACGTGTATGTCTACGCACGGATCACCAGTGTCAGTGGGCAAGATGCTGCGGCTCTGCCACTTCAGGTCCCTGTGCCCGGAGAGCTGGGGACAGACAGCAGGAAGCTCCTGGGCCCCAGAGCAGCTGGGAAGGGAGGCAGGAGCACCGCATTGCTGCCACCTGCAGACTCCCCTCAGCAGCTACCACCCACAGATCATCATCCCCATCACTCAGGCCATCTAGCATCCACGGAGGGAAGCCAAAGACTTTCCTGTGAGCTCCTGCCACCCCAAATAATCTGGGTAAAAGCTGCCTCTTGCTCAGCATCTTGAACGGCTCTACACGAGTTCAAGGACAGACCATTTGTTTGCTCACTCCACTCCGGGAGAATCTTACTACACTTTGCTAATGTACACCACTCAGATATCCCTATTCAGATAATCTCGCAATAAAAATTCACCTTTTTTTTTTTAAGTTGTGTTCCCAGGAGCAAGGGGAGGGGAAGCCTCCATTTCCCCTCTCCCAAGCAGAAGCCAAGCCAACATGCACTGAACCTTCTTATCACTACGTGCAAGCCAGTGACTTGTATGCTGTTTGTTCCTCTAGGTTTTCCACATCTGGGAAGAACTGCTCCCTCCAGGACAACCCAAATGAAAAAAAGAGTCATGGACAAGTGATTTCTAGGCCCAGAAATCCCACATTTTCACTGGCTCTTACATGGAAGACAGCCAAAGTGCTTCCCACCAGCGTCTTCTTCCAAAATAAGCCACAAAAAAAAAAGTGTTTTACCTCTAAGATACAACTGGTATTCACACTGAAGTTGCACAATTAAATGAAACCCAACCTGCACAGGCTACCTGCAGTACAAATAAGTGTTTATATTTCAAATAAACCGCCGACTACGTTACAGAGGGCACCATCTATTATGTGTCAAACTGCCCAGCAGAGGGGTCTAGGTATCAAACACACCCAGATGTGCTCCAACATCAATGTGCACCCACCCCACAGCTTTTATACACAGGTCAAATCGGAAGTTAGAGATTTTCTGTATTTTGGTGAAGACAACATCATTTCAGCTTGTGACAACTCAAATGTTTGTTTTCTTTAGCTCATGACATCTAAGGCACAAATACCTGAAAATTTACACATAAGTTTTAGTCTCACTGCAGAGGTCACTACCTGGTTTTGTTTAGAACCAGAAGTCTATTTTCACAACCTGGGAGAGCAGGAAAAGAGCACCAGTGTCATCACACCCATCTGCCTGCTCCATTTTCACTTTTTCCCCCATACTTTTTTTTCCTCCCACAATCAATTTTTAGTGGCAGCAATACAGTGACTGTTTGCATTAATCACTTTGCAAGGTGAAAGAAGATTAAGATTTCATAAACTGGTAGCATAAAGTATAGCACTGGAAACCCCCTTAAGGGATCATTTTGATCTGGGAGACCTGGCTGGATTCTCTACAACAACTGGCTGGCTATAGAGTCACCAGAACTTCCAACTCACCAGCCTGGACAGATGCATACTATTTTTGTCCAATCCAAGACATTAAATGCAAAGATACAGTGTACCTGCAATACTACTGGAACACAAACCTATTCCCTTTCTCACCACCTCACAAAAGACAGCTTCAAAAAACCTGGAGCACAAAACTTTCCTCAATTTCCTCCCGAAAACAGAAAATGGGAGACACTGCCCTGTGGGCAAGATGAATGCTGGAAGCATATAGGGAGCTTTCTGCAGCAAAGCATCTGTGTCTCTCATCCATTGTTAGTGAGCCATGATTCACCACTTGTTAAACAGCAGTTTTTAATTTTCAAATCCACTTTATTACATCTTATGAATCCAGAACAGGGAGGGCATTCTACCATAATTATTGCCTTTTTTTTTTGTCTCAGTCATCTTTAAGTGGCTGTACACTGCTTTTGAAGTTCAAACCTTTTTGAAGGTGAGCTTTGTCTTCTGACTCAAACATGATCCTCGTTAGAGGGCAGTCACTATCCGACTGCTCAGCCAGCAAACCCTGCTATTTAATGAGGAAGAATGGGCTGCTAGGAACACGGACTGCCTTCAGGCACCAACACCTGTGAAACGTGTTCAAAAGTCTGCATTCCCTGGTAAATTTTATTTCATCTCCTCTCTCTCAAAGATTTCAGAGCCCAAACAATTGGTCAAATGAATATCCCCACCCTTCTGATAATGGAATGAAACAGCACTGCCTTGCTTCATCTACTGAGATTTCTGTTTCTAGAAGTTCAAGAAACTGAATCTAGTAAATAATAGATGCAGGACCTACAGCACAAAGAACCAGGAATCCTAAACATTAAGAGACCTAGGGACTAGAATCTTAGGAGTCCAGTAATTCATAGATAACCAAAATGGTTATTTCAGCAGTTCATTTTAAAGATTTGTAAGAGAAACAACACACTAGTGAACAAGAGAAGGACATACTAATAAGCAAGTTATACCATCTTTGATAAAGTAAGGAGGAAGCATATAGTGCAGTGTTCAGACTATACGCAATATCGCATTTCTGCAACTAAAGAATTCAACTATTTCTCAGTTAAAACAATTCAAGCTCACTTGTAAAATGTCATCAAGTGCATTAAAAAAATCAGAATAGTCTATACTTAACCATAATCTACCTCTCTAGATCTAAATGGACTACAAAGGACTAACCATCTGCTAGGTAGTGAAGCCCTAGTCTACTGACATTATGGCCCTAATGAAGAAGCCCTAATGTCTACTGACATTAGGAGAATGCTTACATTTAGAAAGGGAAAATGGATTATTTATCTGACAAACAAGCAGTCAAAATACTTCAGTTTCTTCAAATCATACTTACTTTTATGGTTTTAGTTTGAAGTCTCAATCCATTCAGAGTGTTGATAGCTTTTTCAGCATCCTTGGGGTCAATGTAGTTCACAAAACCATAACCCAAGCTCTGTCCTGATTAAAAAGAAGAGCGATCATTAGTACTCAGATGCCACACAAGGGATAGCTCAAGTGTTTAAAACCTATACAGACACACTGAGCAAAAATTGCTTATGGTAAAGAACAGTATCTGCCCCGCTCACAACACCTCATTTTTCCAGTAAGGTCAGTGTTGTTTTAACTAGCTTCCTCAACTCCCATGGACTGCCCTAAGTTCAACACAGAAATTACTAGAGACCATTTAATGAAAGACAAAAATTGCTATGCAAAATAGGTTCAGGAGTTTGCTATCTGTTAGAGACCAGAGAAAGCGAAGGAGCTTCAAAGTTCAGAGGCTATCAAAAATCCACTACTCGCATTTGAACTTTTTAATTGAACACAAAGTATCATGGTAAAATTCTAGACCAGTGCTTGAAAATGAGGTTTTTTGGTTTGGTGGTTTTTTTTTTTCCAAATATACTTCAATATCTGAATTTGAGGCAAATTTGAAACCAAACATTTCTACAGATGCTTTTCACACACTAAAGAGCCTCTTGGTAACAAGAGGTTTAAACACTCATTTTGTTCCTATATTCAAAACAACTGGTACCAAGTAACTGCTCACGAGTTAAATGACATCCAAAGATGCAAAATTTTCAGGTTCTTTTAGCACCGGTAATTCAGATGATAGATGGGCAGAAAGCATTTTTAACTAACTCTTAAATTGCTGAACCACAGCCCATTCCTAACAGCGTATTCTGCTCAAGCACTTTCAAAACACTTGAGTGTTACAGAGGATAAACAGCATTACATAACGTACAAACTGCAAATTCATGTATTGCTGAAGATGAAGGCACCTGTGCTGAATCAAGTTCTGTATGCCATCTATAAAGCATGTATTTAAGTAGTACACAATGCAAAAAACCCTGCAAGTTTGTAATTGATTAAGACAAGAGGGTTTATAACAAGCTGCCACTGCTGGCATTCATAATTCTGTACAAATTAGTCTCCACAGCACCAAAACTGGACACCACCACCCCCACACTACCCCCAATTTTTCCCAATCTCCTCCTCCAAAAGCACACAGAAATAAATTGCCTAGATGAAGCTGTGAACATGAAAGTATAAGGAAAGTAATTAACAAAATACGTCCGAAACTCAACTCCCCAACACCCTGCTCCAGACAACCCTGCTCTGAGCAGGAGGTTGGACTACATGAGCTCCAGAAGTGACTCCAACCTCAGCAACTCCGTATTTCCCTAACAAGCAAAATGGAAATAGGCAGAAGTGTTTCCGTATGCATCTACTGCTCTACACAGATATAGCTAAGTTCCTTACCCTAGAAGTGCCTTTTTCCTTATTAGTTTGGTTACAGTAGAGCAATTTCTGTACCTGCAATTTCACCTCCATCACTCCCACTGTCTGCATAAAACTCTTCCCATCTGCATCTCCAAAAAAAGAACTTAAAGGAATGTCTTTTTGAGCACAGCTTTTTAGACTTCTCCTAATACGGAAATGCTGGGTTTTGGTGTTATTATTCATTTCCTAGGGAGGAACCCATTTAAACCACAACCTTAAAAGACATTAAAATCTGTAAGAGCAAAATATTTCATCTAGGGTATTCCCAATACACTACTCACTAATTCCACAGTGAAGTGTAAAAGATGTGCAGAAATTATTTCTACTACCCACTCTCTTCATGTGATCTGTTTTTCACATTAACACTACCCAGATCACAGCAGGCAAACAGCATACCCAGCCGATAAAAAGGGTATCATTCATGACCAGTTCTTCCGCAAACATTCTAGCAGTTGAGCTTGATAATTATTAGTAGACTAACCTAGGAAGCACAAAATCCAGTCATCTATTCAGGACAGTCTGAACTCATTTCTGCAGGTTTATTCTGCAATTAAAAAAAGCTTTCACTGTGAGCTGGTGAAACACCAAGGCAGGTCACCCAGAGATACCTGAAGTGTCATTCCTGGTATACGATACTCCAGAGATACTCCAAGTCTGACTGGATGTAGTGCTGGGCAACCTGCTCAGGGAGAACCTGTCTGAGGAGGGGGAGTTGGCTAGTGGCTCCACAAGTCCCTTGTTTCCTCAATGATTACATGATTCAGTTTTGTTTAATTTGGGCTACCATCCAGAATTCAATCCAAAGGCCTTATATATTTGAAAAGGTTTAAGAAAAAGGTATGCCTTCTCAGAGGCTGAAATTTTGCCTGAAGATTTAGTGGTTCAATTACACACTACCAATAATTCAGAGTCAGAAATCACTTTTTCCAGAGCAGCACATGAGAAAGATGAATCTTAGCTCTCAACAAGCAGTACAAATAATTGGAAATTGATCCTGATTTCTGGAATCAGATGCTTATGGGACCATTCTGAAGTCTTACTGCTTAAGGGAAGATGCTTGTCTAAAAGGTTTGCCAGTTCACATATATATGGCTGAGTTTTAGAAAATCCAGACAAGCATTTCACAAAATGCAGCAGAAGCAGCTCTTTCAAACAACACATCAGCTATCTCAATTATTGCAAATTATGTTTGACAGCTGGCAGTATTTCTGACTTTGTGGGAAAGTGCCAAGTGCATTACAAGAACATAGAAGCTCAGTCCTTCCCAAGTGTTTTACTGAGGTACGGGACTTCAGTCCAATCTTACACTAGTACCACTGTAGCTGTACAAGCCAGAGGGAAGTCTCATCTGAAATCCACAGTCAGAGGGAGAGAGCAGCATAACCACTGCACACAAATTACTCAGACAAAATTAGAGATAACTGGCCAGCAAAATCTAAACAAGTTCTCCTTCTGTGCAGCTTTTTCCCCCACTCAATGTCTAAACATTTTACTTTCAAGACAAGCCAAGTAGATGCTAGATGCACTTAAAATCAAACCAGCCACCACTTAGAATATCTAAAAAGGGGAAAAATCATTATTTAATAATAGCAATGACTACTTTGTATTTCCTTAAGCCACAAATTAAACTGAACACTGACAGAAGACAGCTCAGCAATTCTGTGACTTTTCTACACCAAACTCCATTTGCCAGAACAGAAATCTGCAGCACACAAAGTTGTTTCCAAGTCTAACACACTTAAAGCAGATTAAGTGTCTTGAGGCCGCAACAGGGTGGTAGAAGAAAGTAAATCTACAATTGTCCACAAGTTAAATAATACTCAGATTTAAATGTATACCAAAAAGCGGCTTAGTCTCCTACTGGTTTAAGACAGGGTCTGCTCCACCTGGCTCTAGCCTCAGCTTTGTTTTTCCAACTTGTGCTTAATGACACTACAGTCTGAAAATCATCTGACACCTCTCCAGGTTAGCTGTACTGGTGCTCGGGCTACCACTCCATGTTGAGATAGTCTGAATATCCAGTTCAGCCTCTCCTAGATCTTCGAAATTATGGCCTAGTCAACCTCACCACAGACAAGAAGCTATCCATGCACATCAGCTATTTATTCCATAACTCAAACCTATGAACAGTATTAAATTTAGGTTATCCTAAAAAAAAGGAGTGACAGTTTCAACAGTTTTTGTGAGTAGTTATATGTGCAAGTAAGAAAATGCTTGTGCAAATTAAAGGGTAATTTCTTAGATAATACCTTTTTTTTTTTTGGCATTACAGTCAATATAGGGAATGGATTTTGAGAGAAGAGGCAAAAAATAATACAGTAACATTAAATAAGAAGCAAGGGAAGAACACAGCGATTCAGTACTTAGGAAAGAAAAGTAGACAGACTTCACAGGCACCAGCCAGCAAAAGACCAAAAAGGTTTCAAGTAGGAAAAGGGAAATAAACAATTAAAGTACAGCCATGGTCACGATGCTCCTGAATTCACTACTGTGACTTGAAAAACATCACTTTTTCCCTTCAAAAAGGGACAGGCTCTAATTCACAATACTTATCAAAGGAAGAACCACAAATAGACTAGTTCTATCCTGCCCAAGTTGTTTCACAAGTATATACTTGTTTACTGTAAACAAAGTCCATTTTAATACTGTACACAGCTGTAAAAGCACAAACAAAATATTCTGGTATACAGCATTGAGTCCCAAATGGCTGCTACCCATAGAGGAAACAGTCATGTGAAGTAGGTGCGATAGAAGCCATGTTGTCCATTCTTAGTGGCTTGCTTTTAAAAGTAACAACAATATTCCTTAAAGCAGAATTGAGTCCTTTTAAAATAACTGGTAAAGTAACATTTTCCTCCTTCTCACAACTAAACCATTCAACTTTCTAAATAGGAATAATCTCACTGTAGAACTCATATGAAGGGGCTCCTAAATTATTTACAGCAACTGCTTCAACGTTCTCAAGGAGACAGGTTATAGACAGTTTACATCCTAGTACAGCTGCAAGAACTGAATTCTAGAAGTAAATATCATGACGAAGACTTAGGTTGGACAACTGGAGATGTGACAAGTGAAGAAATGGCAAAAAGACAGAAAAACTTAATTAGTTGTTTAGCAAAATTCAAGCCAAGTCTATTTTTTCCTTAAGGTAATTTAGGATTGTGGGATTAAAAAAAAAAGCATCACTGCACTGTACACTTCGATGAGGCACAGCTATTTACACCATTCAAGAGTTTACTGCTTAATTCCTGAATGCTCAAAAGCAATTACGAGCCAGCTCACTTCACTTGATCACCCTGCAGAGCCCTCATGAGCTTTAGGAAGAACAGATCTAGAGACAAGGTAATTTCTCCTATTGCCCTGTCATTACAATGGAGAGAGAAGCAAGAATTGGTGACAGAAAAGTACTGAAGCTGTCTGAACACTGATGCCTCTTAGATCCTAGGAAAGTCCTCTGCTGGGGAAGTGTTCATGCATGAAACACTTGGTTTCATCAAACAGCCTAGGTGTCCTAAGGCATCCCCAAGTTCAGTGCTGGGAGACCGTCCCGTGAGACCTGTCACATAAGAACAGAGATTGCTCTGGATAGGACAATTAATAGGACATTCTCAGGGAATAGTGCAGAGCAACAGGTCACCTATTTTCCTGCTGGTTGCTCTAAAGGTTTCACTTGAAGC